TATATATATATATATCCTTCTTAGCGATGACCACCATCATCACAAGCTTTTGCAATCTCGTCATATATATATATATATATATATATCTTTCTTAGCGATGACCATCAATCATCCCAAGCTTTTGTAATCTCGTCGAATATATATATATCCTTCTTAGCGATGAACACCAATCATCCCAAGCTTTTGTAATCTTGTCATATATATATATATATATATCATTCTTAGCTATGACCACCAATCATTCCAAGCTTTTGTAATCTCGTCATATATATATATATATCATTCTTAGCGATGATTACCAATCATCCGAAGCTTTTGTAATCTCGTCACATATATATGTATATATATATATTGTTCACGATACGTTGAACCTCCATTAACGCAAATCTATTCCCTACGGTCTTCGACGGATATGATAATATGTATAAAGTGAGTGGATTTCCTTTACTTTCCACTAAGTGCCTCTTGGGTTGAACAAGTAAAATAGTGTTTACAGGGTGTTACTACATTACTGTTAAACAGAAACAATACCAAATGGTATAATTTCTTATGTACACGCAATAAAATCGTAAGAAAGGCTATAAAAATCAATGGAATTGCTTTATAACAAGATAAAAACTCACTACAGAGTCGTAAACTGCAATAAGTAACATAACCGTTTATTTCTTTGATAGCTGTGACCTTCTGAAGAAACTTGTATAGGACGTTCAATAGCAAATCTTGCCTATCATTGAAATCTAGATAGATTGAGATAGCAGAGAAATATCCTTATAAATGATTACTATAGGAAATATGAAATTATTAACGTATGTTTAAATCAAAGAATTATATTACTAACAGTTAGATTTCCATTGTGTCAAACTTATTTTTTATAACAACTATTTTTATATTAAAGTTCTTTTGAGAAGAGAGCTGAATTTCTTCAAAATTATTTTAAGAAATCAAATCTCTGTTTCTAAAGCCTCCATGTGGTATGTATAAAATATTATAGCAATTGTTTTTATAGCTGTTTGTATATTTTTTGAACCAAAGAACGCGAAGAGTTTATTTTTTATTACACTTATAAATTTCTCTAAATTGCGATATAAGCCTTTTTAAAACCAGTTGAACTGTTAGAATACTGTAACTGTAATCGTTAGATATTGTTTTCTACCTAAGGAAGATATATTTTCGTAGAGAAGAGGGAGTGAAACTAAATTCAAAATAAGTTATCCTACTAGGAAGGAGTAGTTTTCTTCACAATCTGGGTTTATTAAAATTATTTATGTATAATAAAAGTGCAAGTTGTCCTAACTTTGTATGGTTTTACGCGGCCTGCTAGCCATGGGTATTTTTTTTTCTTTAACATACGTATATATTTGTAACGGCAAGTATGCCTTTTGAAAGCTTTTATTTCGAGCTAGCTTATTTATTTCAAGAAAGAATATTAAAGTGACTATACTCTCCTTTCTGGAGCATTGTGGGCTATAAAATAAAATACATATTATAGACGTAGACACTGGTGTTTTTGTCAGTAAGAAGAAGTTTCGTTTATGTTAATAGTTTTCACAGAATATTTGATACTATAGTCTTTAGAATCACTCCTTAAATGTTATATCTGGTTATTTTAATGAAAGAAAAATATCTTTAGTAATTGAAAATGTTCGTCAGAAGGAACAAGGCAAGCAACACATGAAAAATATCTTTATTAATTAAAAATTGTTTGTTTGTTTGTTTGAAAGCTACACAATGGGCTATCTGTGCTCTGTTCACCACAGGTATCGAAATCCGGATTCTAGCGTTGTAAGTTCGCAGACATACCGCTGTGCTACTGGGGGGCATTTTCGTCAGAAGGAACACATTAAATATTCAACTTTAAATCAGCAGTTTTACATCAAACAGAATCAAACCAATTAAAACACGACAGAGACTAGCATGTGACGTATAAATTGTACGTTACAGAAGTACTAAAAAACGGTCCGCCGGCGGTGGGGGACTCAGCGTTAAATTTACGGACTTAGAACGTTAAAATACGGAGATCGATTCCTCACGATGGACACAGCAGATAGCCCAATGAGTTTGGCATTAAAACAAACAAACACACAATAAAAAAGGAATTTTTTTGTAGTAAGACAATTTAGAAATCAACGTGAGTACTAGGAAGATAATTATAATCTTAGTACTGCATATAATACTCGAATATTAAGTTTTTGTGTAAAAAATTGTTAAGTTCAAATATTCTAACACCACAGTTGCCCTCTTCTGAGCTTAACCAATAGCTTAGTTGGCATAATGACAACGTTTCGATTCTCTAAATCTAACATTTAGGCTATGCTGTCATCTCAACTTTTTACCACCATTACTTTAAACTAAAACAAGCCTCATTGGTATGAATAATATTGGGTACTATAAAATTATAAGAAGGAAAATTCGTTCCTTAATCGAGTTTCAGGCCTAGACTGCGATTTAGTAATTTGTTATATTATGAAGTTAATTAATATTGTGTAATAGTTGTTTCCAGTAACATCCAACATAGCGTGTTAATGTTTTATTTTGTAAACAGACTGAACAGCTTACATTCCTGTGGATAATCTTCACCATGATTGTTCTTGGGAACGGTGGTGTTCTGATAACCTTGATGATGTCTAAAAACAGAAAGTCCCGGATGAATTTCTTCATCATGCAGCTTGCTCTGGCTGGTAAGAGTATGATGGAAGATATTGTAACAGTGTATGTACATATAAAATTCCAAATTTTAAAACAATGTTATGAAAACTATCGATTCAGGGAATTCGGTTTTGTTCGTTCGTTGTGCCTACCACGAGTATCGAAATCCGGTTGTTAACGCTATAAGCCTTCAGACTTAACGATAGGTAGGAAATTCTGGACTGTAGCATCGAATAAAATCATTTGTTGTTCCACAGGTGACCAAACAACAGGAGATACAAAATTCTTGTAATTTTTTTTACTAGCAACGTCAACTCTAACAACCTTGTTAGTTCTGAAAATAAACCACACTTAATGATTTGAATATTTTCCTCAAGTTTTCGCCTCGACTAAAGAGGAGTAATCCTACAGTTTATTAAAGAACAATTTATATTCAGACATTTTTTATTTGATTTTTTGTAAGTTGGATAAACTTATAATATTCCACTTACGTTTACGTCTTCTGCACTTGGAATAGATTTTAATTGTTCAAAATCAAATAGAAGATAATTAGTCATATTTTCAATGCTTTTAATATAAGTCACTTTTATGGTAAAACAGTGTCTAAATGTGGCTAAGTCAACGTAAGAAACAGGAAATTAGTATAAGTATTATAAATGTGGTTAAATGAACAAAGATTTGATTAAAATATGAAGCTGTGTCGAAACAGACGTTAGTTTAATTCGGATCGAAATTGAAACGGTCCACGAACTTTTTATTTCTTCGCCTACCGTTTGTTGCTAACTAAATAATTAACGTGATACTAGCAGAGACCCGCAAAAACACTTACGGTCAAATCAGTATCTTTATTACAATAGTACTTACTTATTTAAATACAGGATTACTAGAATAATATAAAAGAATTATAATCACAGACACCGAAATCTGTAAGTCAACTTATCTTAGGCCTAACATTAGTTAAGTCTATATTAAGTTCGGGCTATATTCGATAAAGAGCTAAGTTAACACTGTAATTTGTATACGTTTTTTGCTTTAGTTTAGTTAGGGGCTAAACATTACTGTATTTAATACTACCAGTAAACAAATGTATAATATTATTCTGCGACCTAACGTTAGACCTTCTTAAAAACTTTTACAAACTTTGATACGTTGTTGTACAAAATGTCTACTAAAGTATATTTTGTTTACATCTGTTGAAATGAAATGCGCGCGCATTTTCAGGACAGGCAAAAACTGAGTATTATTATAACAGATACCTTTTCCAAAATATGAAAATAAAACAGCTGAACACAGGCAATGCTTAAATGCTAGTTTTCTACATGTTTGATTTGCATCAATTATTTCTCCTCTGAAGTTGGAATATTTAAATTAAAAGATAAAAGAACTTATTGTATCTAGAAATATCACTAGATGTTTACTAACTACTGTTCAGACAAGATATGTTACTCTATTGCCAAAAAAAAGACACAAATTATCATAAATTTTAAACACAGAATTTTTTTTAACACTTATCTAATTTTATCGTTTATGTAATGCTACGATTTCCGCCTTATTTTCAGATCTTCTTGTTGGGCTGATTCAAGTTCTTACGGACATTATATGGCGAACATATGTAGACTTCTACGGTGGAAATGTTGTTTGTAAGATTGTTCGCTACCTACAGGTCTGTATTGTGTTTTTACATATATCACAATAATGGATTCTTTATAGCATGGGCGCTTGACTCGCAATGTGAGGGACGCTGGTTAGAATTCCCGTCCCAACAAACATGCTCGCTCTTTCAGCCGTGGTGGCGATATAACGTTACGGTCAATCCCACTATTCGTTGATAAAAGAGTAGCTCAAAAGTTGGCGGTGGGTGGTGGTGACTGGCTGCCTTCCCTCTAGTCTTTCACTGCGAAATTAGGGACTGCTAGCGCAGATAGCCCTCGCATAGCTATGCGCGAAATTCAAATGAACTTTATAAAAACACGAATGAAATTCAAACTTTCATTGACTCGATAAGTCGATCATGGTAAATTAGCAGCTGCCAAGCGGACCACGAAAAGCAATATAGTGAAAAAGATCAGGTACTGGATAAAGAAATATGATGTACTTGTGAAGCGTAAAGGTGCAGTATAGAATTAAGTATACGATTATAAGTTCGTTCTTCTCACAATAAGCTAACTGCATTTGTAATAGTGACTTTTAAAAATATATTTGGGAAATTGGGTACAGTCTTTATAGCTACACGCACTGTAATATTGTTATTGTCTTAAATTAAAATCGCTAATTAATGGAATAGCGAAAATATTACAACATGGTGCTGTAATCTCAAGGTATTCATTATAGGATGAAATATACAATTAAATTCATGATTCGACGGGCATGACATTTCTAAAAGTTACGTTTTTTAAAATAGAATACTAAATTTAATTAATATAATCAGATATACTAAGTACACTTATATATATATATAAATAGTAGAGCCACTGTAAAAAAAACAAAAAACCTTCTGCTGAAAGCAAGACAGTTTATGTTCTGTGGAACACAAGTCTGACGTTTAAAAGTCTACAATACAAGTTTAAGTTTAAAATAACGCAATCGTTTTAGACCGACGAAGCTGGACTCATAAGTATTGGCTGATGCATAATATTTCAGTTGAATATTTTATACACTCTACATACACATAATATACATATGTCTTCACAACACAACAACGCATTAAGTAAACACAATCTTGAATTTAAAACTGCATCTAGAGAAAACATAAAAACCTGTGAGCTTATATTTATGCAACAATCAAATGTACTATAGTTCACAGAAGTCTATTTTTCTAGACCACAATGTGAATTATTGGGAAATAACACATTTAGTTAATTTACAACACAATTTCTTGCACAATATAGATTTTTAAAACGTAAGCTTATATTTTTCAATACATGCTCGTTTCTAGTTAATTTTCTACATTTATCAGAGAGCTTGTTGAGAACGTGAATCCCAGTGTCTGAACCACTATCTTATCCTAAAAGATTATTGTTAGCAGTAGTAGTAGTATTGGGTATCTATGAAATAAATATGGTATTGATTGATTATCTAGTAGTTGTGAAGTCTCCTTCCCTGTACGTCTCTTGATCAATCTGGCAACCTCGATTTCTACCCGCATCTCCTACAACTTTTTTTTTCTTTTTAAATCTTACCTAGTTTAATAAGTAAGGCCACAAAAAATATCCATTATACACGACTTACTATAGGAACATTCTTTGAAGTTACTATCCTTAGGCCACTCCTTAACAGCACAATTTTTAGCTTAAATTATATCAAATATACAATATCAGCTTTACTGTAATTACTATTTCAATTGTTCAATAAATTCAGTAATTATAGCGATAGGTAAAAGGTTTAGAAAACGAAAAATGTTAACGAAGAAAATATCAAGTAGCCAACATTTTAAAAAGACAAATAATTGCTAAGTAGTATATTCAATAAATATTCAGTAATTTTAAAACGATTACTCTGTTAGTTCATAAGTATTTTACTTAAGATCTGACTCATTCCCATCTCTTTATAACAATCTATATGATATTTTTCTTGTATCGGACTGTGTACTTATGTAGATATATACTTTCAAACTTTTATGTACAATTTATAAGTTTGTGTGTGTGTTATATATATATATTTCCTGATTAACAGTTTACTGTATAAAACACTTTTTCAAGATATTTGTGAAACTTAATTGATTAAAAAGTCAATTAGTACATTAACTGCAACAATATAGTTTTGATATTGAGTTAATTACCTCAAATGTTACGTCTAGACTAAAAATAAAAACAATCTAAGTTTATTGTACTTACCGATTACATGAAAAATTAAAAAAAAATATCCGATATATGTAAGAGCATATAATTTTGTCTGTACTCTTTAAATGTTATGATAAAAGCCAAGAAAACTAAGATGTAATATTGTGTTATTTTATGTTGATTTTCATGATATTTGTTTATTTTAGGTTTTAGTTATGTATTCCTCCACTTATGTTTTGGTGGCGCTGAGTATCGATCGATATGACGCCATTACCCGCCCGATGAAATTCTCCGGAAGTTGTAGGTTTTTCTAATTTCTGAAAAAGTTTACGTATAGAATGGTTATTCGGAATACTTCATAATTTTTATTATTTATGAGTGCAAAAATTTCTTGAGTCATTTATCTTTGTCATCGAATTACTCAAAAATATTGTTGAAAGGTATATGTTTTGTTATGTTTTAATAAATTAGAAATTAATAATTTCTGTTATAACAATACTTGTAATATTCAGTTTGCAAAGAGAATCGAGATAATTACTGTTAAGATATATTTTAAATGCAAAAATCTAATAACTTCTCGCAAGAATAATATAATGCAAAATGTGATAAATTTAATTTCAGAGACATTAATTGTTTTTTTTTATTTTCCATGACAATTATAATACAAATTTTCTTTTTTACGCTAATAAGTAATATACACAGAGAGATTAATATATAATTGAATAGAGTTGTTCGTTTACGTTTTCTCTGTGAATTGTTTAGACATGAGTTGCATTACCAATTAATAATTAATACTGTTCCACACTAAGAAGATTCTTTATTTCAGAATGACATCTTCGAAAATTAAAAACAAAAGAAAAATGATTAAATATAAAATACGAGATAACTTACTAAATTAAATAAAGGTTGCGTAAATGTATTGAAGAGATGTACCGATATAATTTGTTTTGAACATTAAACCTAGGGAAGCGAGCTAAGATGCTGATTGGTATGGCCTGGGGAATTAGTGCTTTAGCTGCCAGTCCAGCAGTTTTTTTGAATAAGGAATCCATGATCAAAGGACGAATTCAGTGTTGGATCGAGATGGAGAACTGGCAATGGAGAATATATATGTCCTTGGTTGCGTTTTCTGTTCTCTTTCTCCCTGCGGTTGTTATCTCTGGATGTTATACCGTCATTGTACACACCATCTGGACAAAAAGTAAATCCCTCACGTACCCTAAAACCAGACGATCGGCGTATATATTTAAAGGTTTGGTATTTCCCTATCTATCTATATATATATATATATTGATAAGATGAAACGCATTTGCTAAATAATTTCTCATATGGTCACTAGATGGCACTATTATAAGATATTCTAGTATCTTTGCATTTCATTTTATATTTTCCTCCTTGTAGCAAAGTTTCTGTAGTTCTCGATTATCGAATTTGATATATATATATAATGGAATTGCGATGTTTATGTTTTTAGAATATGAAGCATAATATTATATCATTTACTTATTTCAAATAGATTATTACCTCATAAATGACTTAAGACATCAATATGATACATGATATCAATATCCTCAGAATTCCATCAATGTAGGTAGCGCGTCATTGTCCAAAATGTCACAAAACGTCAAAGCATTCACTTTTTCCCTTATTATCAGTGAACCAAATCCAAATGACCAAAAATAGCTTGTTAAAAATAGATAACACCCCACTAATTTTCCTGGTTGAAACGGCACAGTTTGCTTTCCCGTCCATCTGAAGCAAGTAATGAGTATCAGGATTAGTCGACAACAAGTAATTTTTCCATTGTTCTTTTTCCTTCAATAAACCTAGATTCCTTATGTTACCTCTATAACACACAGATGTTCTGGCACTAATAAAATTATTATTATCTGCTAGTTGTCTCATTTTGTGTTTCTATATTATCTATAATTCGTGTTCATTAAATCTATGATCATGTAACAAAATGTGAGCATTTTTTTATATGAGAAACCTGCAGTTGGTTGAAGTACATGGAGTTTTCTTTATTTTTTGGTTTAACCGTAAAGGTGAACAATGGGATATCTTTGCTATGCCCACCACAGGTATCGAAACTCTGTTTTTAGCATTATAAGCCTTCACATTTATCGATGAGTCACTGGTCAAATTGATTTACCAATCTCCCCTCAGAAAACCCCCAGAATATATTCAGTTTCAACAGCCTCAAAATGGCGGGACTTTGCTACGAGAAGATCGTACAGTAATTTTAGTTTCTTTGCTTCAATAAAACCTTTTATAAACAGTAATTAGTCTATTTGACTTTATAATCATTAGTAAATCACTTATTTCACATATCGTAGCACAAACAAGTATTGTATTGTTCCTGAAAAGTGTTTTTATTTATTAGTATTATTACTTTTTGAAATTGCTAATTTCTAAATGATCGTCCTCTTTCATAATTATTTTGAATAAGAAATAATATCAAACATAGTCAGTAATTTTAAATTCAAAGTACTGGTTCCAAAATAGTGTGGTCGATTCATGATTCTTAAATAAGCAGAAATAGTCAACAAATATAATTTTTATTGATATACTGTTTTGATGAATAGCAAGAGTTTTTACATAAACTTCTTGAAATAGTAATATTTTCCAAACATTCTTATTGGTTAATATTGAATAAAACAATAATAGTTATTATATTTTATACTAAATTACTTTAAAAAGTAAATAATATTGTTAACCATTTTTAGAAAACAGCATTGTATTTATACTTGCAAGTTGTTATTTAATTATTCCAGATAGGCAAAAATAGTTAATAATTAGTATTGTTCTTTAATCTTCTGAAATAAATTAAATAAACTGAGAGTCACAAATCTACTTATGTTGTCATTATAATATAAATCTACTGTTGATCGTCACAAATTTACTTATGTTGTTATTATAATATAAATCTACTATTTGTGCCAATAATGCAAATGATTTTACAATAATAGACACATAAAAAAGTTTTTAAACAGTTAATTAGGTTTTGCATTTGCACATTGAATATATTTATATTGCTAATATAATTACTCTAATAATTAGATGAAAATGGTTTCGATTGGTTTGTTTGTAGTTAACGCATAAAGCTACACGATAGGCTATCTGACCTCCTCCCACCACGAGTATCGAGACCCGGTTTCTAGCAGTGTAAGTCCGCAGACATGCCGCTGTGCCACAGGGGAGTGATTTCGATTGGAAAATAAAAATTGAAAAATAAATACAACCATAAAGAAAGGTGGAAATAAACATAAATATGGATAGGTTATTCTTCACTTTTATCAGCTTTGAATTGTTGTGTTACTTTTCTTTTTCAAGATAGAAAATAAAGTGTTTATTACTTCGGGATAAAATCATTTCCAAGTAAATGAACCGTTATATTTGATGTACCAGTAACCAAGACAATACATTTTGTTAAGTAAGCACATTAATAAGCTTCAACTTATAATGACATATCAGAAGTTGTCATTCTTTTTGGCCCCCTGTGGCACAGCGGTATGGCTGCGAACGTATACCGCTAGAAACCGCGTTTCGATACTCGTGGTGGGCAGAGCACAGATAGTCCTTTGTATAGCTTTGCGCTTGACAACAACATCCTGTTTGTTGGCTGCTGATCTAACCTGTTGTAACATATTATATACTTGTACATTATTCTTATATACCTGTGTTTAAGGACAATACAAAAAGTAATCAAGTTTTATTTGTGATGACACTTTCTTTATGCATTGTTTGAGACTAAAAGTCTAAGTGTCTCTTACCCAATAACCTTCCCTTATATATATATATAAAGATAATAGTAAGAGGCATTTCAAAACAGTATACTTCCCTTATATTCATTGATTTTTGGTCTTGGAGAGAAAAAAACTTGTCTAGCGTAGATTCACCTTAGTTCCCTGTTTACGGACTTACAACGCTAAAACCCGGGGTTCGTTTTCTTGTGGTGAACACAGCAGACAGACTAGTGTGACTTTACTCTAAAACTAACAAACCCAATTCCATAAATATTTTATATAGAAAAAGAGAGCATTATAGGTCAGAAGTCTTCCCTTATTTTTCATCTTGTATGGACTGGTAGTTTTTCTTAGTTTCAATGCTGATCATAAATGTTACGTAGAATTGCAAAAGAATATTGCATGATATTTTTACTCTTGTTAGCAATCAGTCTGTGTCTTTAATTACATGGAATTTTGTAATAACGAATAATTTGGTTTTAATACAATATTTATGACTGAATAGACATCTTACATTTAAAACCCTTACAATATAGCTTGGTTATCTGATGTGCTGGAGCGGTGATGGGATCCGAAGACAGCCGTTATACTAATAATGTTTAGATTAAAATAGAAGTGTTTCATTTGATTACCCTATTAAAATTGTCCATTTTCTTTAAAAAGAAGAAATAAGATTATTACTTTTAATTTGTAAGTAATCAAACTCTTCTATGTGTCATATATCCCGCTTCACGTACTTTTACTTTGGTGGTAAACACAGTTTGTGCATTTCTATCATTCGCTTATACAAACTCTAGACGAAACCGATTCTAGACACCTAAACAGTTTCTTCAGCTGAGTTCTGGTGACTATATGCAAGAAACAAAACCACCAGTCAACTTTATATTTACTAAGAGCGCAAATCATTTCGTGACCAATTGTTTCGAAGTTGTTAACAGTTCAGTTGCAGATGTTGAAACGTACGAATATCTATTGAAACGTACAGACGCTTACCGTATTAACACCTCCCACGAGAGTCAGAGCATAAAAACTGTTCTAAACACATGTAAGCTTTTGTTCATGAATTACCAGCACACACACACACACCTAAAGCTTAAAGGTTTTAATAAAACTGTCGTATTTGAACAACGTGACTCTGCAAATAGCTTTCTGTGGTTTCTTAAGAACATTTCCCTGTTGAATCTATTTTATAAGATATATAAACAAGCAACTATCTGCTGCGTCTACTGCAGGGATTGAACCTTGGGTTTTAGCGTTGTAAATCTCTAAAATTACCGCTGTCCCACCGGGGAATTTTTCGGAGAGACACATAGAAATTAAGCTTTACATTTTTATTTTAAGAAAATGTGAATCAGCTGACAAGTGATTCTTTAAGTTAGCATGATTCATTTAATACTTTTTTACAAAATCTTCTAAAATTTGGACTTTGGAGCAAAAAACATGGGCTGTCTTGAATATTTTTGTAGTGTTTACAACGAAAATATTATTGAAACTTGATGGATTTTGAAGCTCACGAAGACAAAACTTGCTCATGTGAAGCTTTCAGTTGAAGATGTGGTTAAAAGTATTGTACATGATATCACTTTTATTAAGTCTTGTAAGATAGTGAAGTACTCGTGTACTTCGAAAAGCTTTGATTTTTATATCCTCTACTTGGACGTAATTGGCTTTATGAAAATGTTGAATCACCTTTGTTTGGGCTTAATTTATCACAGTTTATTGTAACATAATCATTTGCACTATTTCTTGGAAGTTAAACCTGATATAATTATCGTAAAATTATAAATTATATATTCATTAAAATGTACTTAGAAATTTGTCCAAATGAGATCCAAGTTTCATTTTACTGAGCACAGAAAGTGAATACGTGTGTATTTTTTCATTTGAAAATGGGCCCCGGCATGATCAGGTGGCTAGGGGGCTCGACTCGTGGGGGCGTTATATAGTGACAGCCAATCCCACTATTCATTGGTAAAAGAGTAGCCCAAGAGTTGGCGGTGATGACTAGCTGCCTTCCCTCTAGTCTTGCACTGCTAAATTAAGGACGAACAAACACACAAACCATTTGAAAATATCCCCGAGGGTGTAAGTGGTAACATTAGGAGCTTATAATGCTAAAATCCTGGGTTCGAATCACCGTGATGGACAGTGTTGTTTAGTTTTGCAATAAGAAAATACCATCAACCTTATATGTCTGTCAGCCTTTTTTTTAATATTAATATATCTGTCTTCCTAGTGAAGGGGGGGGCGCTAGTTGGCCCTGTGGTAGAGCTATGAACTTCTGAGCTGGTGATACCCCAAAAATACCTGCAATTTAACCTTTGGGTGCGTTATAAAAGTGACAGTCAACGAATGGTGGGGTGATAGGATGCTGCTTACTGGCTGCTTTCCCTTTTGTGAAGAATTTCTAATTATAGGTCATCTATTTATATATGTCTGTTTGCATGTCTGTTCAATTCAGTGTACAGATATGTCTCTGCCTGGTAAAGTCTGCTCAATTCGAAGTACGAATATATCTCTCCCTGGCAAAGTCTGTTTAATCCAGTGTACGTATGTGTCTCTGTCTGTCAGTTAACTGTTTGGCTAGCTTTTTGTGTATGTGGAAATGTAGCAGGATTGTTGGAAATAAAATATTTTAAAATAAAAAATGTCTATAAGTTAGTCGATAATTTGTTACAAGAAATATTAGGAAATTTGACTTTAAATCCTTTACATTAGTGAATTCACATAAATAATCATTATTTTTTCATTTAATGTAATAATATTTAGACCATAAACTATACATGATAATGAAAAAATGTTTGTAAATGATCCATGTTTAAATCAAATGGTAGAACAGACACATACAATTGCTCTCTTAGTGAGCTAAGAATGTTACTTTAAAATAAGATAAGAAAACAAAATTTATATTATATATAGAATATATGGAATGACAGTCATAAATCATTTTTATATATAGAATATGTACAATAGCAGTCACAATACATGTTTGGCATCTTCTTTTTTTTGTACCAAGGTACTTCTGGTAGATCCACTGAGGATGATGATGCAATTAGCAAAAGAACCAGTTCCAGAGGAATTATTCCTCAAGCTAAGATCAAGACTGTAAAAATGACTTTTGTCATAGTTTTTGGTAAGATTTTAGTTTTTGAAGATAATGTAATTACATCAAATGGTTTGCATAAAGCAATATTTCTAACATTCAATTTTCTAGATTTCGATAAACCATAACATTTTATTGTCTGAATTACTAGTGCTTTCAAAATCTAAATGCACTACTCTAAATTTTATAAAGTAAAAATATTAGGTTAAATATCCAGTGATTCTTTTATTAGCCTGCAAAGAGTTTATTTTGCCAGAAAATGTTTTAAAACAAGGTAATATTATAATCTATTCTCTTTTTAATTTCACACAAAAATCCATTGGTTTCTGATTATCACCGGATTTTTTTGCGTTCAAAACTAATATATGCACTACATAAAAATAGCATTTCGAATTAATTTGGTTTTATCGATCGTCCAACTCGGGAAATCCACCTTTAATCTGTAATTTGTAGTGGACAAATTAAAAAGAATATAAGAACAAATCCCAATCTAACACGATTTTATCACAAATACTCATCCTATTGGTTTCTACTGCTTTCGGCGTTGAAACCTTAATTAAACACCTTATTAACATATTCAATGCTTATCTCTTGCTTTGAGTATTGAAGAAATATTCCTACATATTGCTCATAAAGAATTTTCTTTAATTATTATGAATGAGATTAATTTAAAATATTTTTATTACTATGTTATCTCCTTTATTTACATTTAACAATAAGGATTTTCTATCATTCTTGGCAACTTTAAGAATCATGAATAATCATTATTATTAATACAAAATGATTTTAATAGAATTAATAAAACGTGTTTGACTAAATTTATCAAACCAATAAGCTATCATTATTGAAAAATAATCTGTGATATATAAATAATATTCTTCATTATCTTAAAAAATAACATTAATTTAAATATTATTAATTACAAACCACAATCTATACCTACGATTACCGAACAACCTAGGTTATCATTTATTTTATTTTATTTTTGCTTAGCCATCTTTGACCTATCATCCATTGTAGTAACAACAATATCTTTCATTACACGTTTGTCATTCTTATAAGAGCCTTTACCAGCACTTACTGATTTATCCACCACTATTTACTCATTATTTGTTGTTTCTATTGTTTATCCGCCTATTCATCGAGAAAAAATGTATTTACCATCACTCATTGATAGATTATACAGCACTTCAACATCAAAATACTGTATTTCACTTTCATTACTCAGCGTTTGGCTCCTCCATCAAGCTTTCTATATCAATTCTAAGAATGATTGTCGTTATTAGGCTTAGGGAAAACTGTTTCGCCACCTTTTATCGGGAAATTGTATCTCACTTTATTCTTAAAAAGATTATTTACTAGTACTCATTCCTTCTGATTTATTTTTGAACATCACCCGTAAGAAATGCAGTCTCTATACATGTAATTCCACCATTTTGATTATCACACATTCTTATATATGTATATAATTTCGGGACATATTTCTTGAAATGATACTTTATTGAGTTAACTTAATTGGCCATTAAATAATGTTCATTCAAAAGAGATTCCTCTAACCAAATTATTCAAACAAAAATGTTTGCACGACGTGTTTTATCAATGGATTAACTTATCAGTTGACTCATAAGATGAAATAACTATCTATTTTGAAGATTCATAAATAATTGTATAACCAAAATGTTTCACTGAAGAATCAGTATACACATTCATCACTGAAGAAATCGTTCCATAAAAGTTTTCATTCGAGATGCGACACCTTTACACCACGTCTGTAACTTCAGGTTACTTTATCAGACTATTTAGTCGAAAATTATAACCAGGACTTTTTTATTGGCATCAACTCCCATGCTCCGCGAAAAATCTCCTTCACAAGTTAAATCCTCCAGAACTGTTTTATCCATTCTTCTTTTGGATAAAGTATATATATATATATATATATACATTCATATCTTCTTGGCATGGCCAGGTGGTTAAGGCGCTCGACTCGCAATCTGCGAGTTGCGGGTTTAAATCCCTCTCTCACCAAACATGCTCGCCCTTTCGGCCGTGGGGGCGTTATAATGTGACGGTCAATCTCACTATTCGATGGTAAAAGAGTAGCTCAAGAGTTGGCGGTAGGTGGTGATGATTAGCCGCCTTCCCTTACACAACTAAATTAGGGACGACTAGCGCAGATAGCCCTCTTGTAGCTTTGCGCGAAATTCAAAACAAATCAATCTTCCTTCTAGCATATCTCAAATTTATTACCTATCTTTCACAATTTATCGAACAATTGTTAGAAATGGTTAAAAACTTTGGGATTTTTTACTACATTAGTCAACAAGGCCTAGATAATCCTATGGGAGATTATTTTAACAGATAAGAAAAGGAAAATAATCGATCTCTTTATTACTTTTAAGACTACTTTTAATGGATCATTTTATCAATTTTTTAATTAGAAAATCCATTTTTTATTTATAAAATTTGTCACTGTTTCAAACAAGCAGTTTTTGTTTTTGCTGAGAAGTTTAACTGCATTTAAGTTGAAATACCACAAAAATGAAATGAAATGTTCTATGAATTTTCTTTAAAATTAAATTTATAATTACAAATATGAACTTTATATCATCTTTATAAAGAAAACCAGTTGCTATGATTTATAACGAGTAACGAAAGTTCACGAAATAGAAACATGTATGAACCTTTTATAGCGTTAATTTAAATATTACATGTTATAAAAGGTATTTTGTTTAGTTAAAGCAAGGAATTATAATATAATATATATATATATATCGAGGAGAAAAGAATGAATGAATGTTTATAAGCTCCTTTTTTTCAGTTTTTATCCTATGCTGGAGTCCATACTTTATCTATGATCTACTTCAAGTCTTTGGATACTTTTCGATAAACCAAACTAACATTGCTGTCTCAACATTCATCCAAAGCTTAGCACCATTAAATAGTGCTGCTAACCCTTTTATATATTTAATATTCTCTACTCATTTATGTAGGACTCTGAGGTAAGACGAAATAATGTTCTTTTCATTAAACACACATTGTTTAACAGTTAATAAAACATTCTTCAATCTCGTAAACATTTGTAAAATTCTTTGTGTAAACATTAAAAAACTTAATTGGGAAGAAATATAACAGAGGGTCTTAGTTAACAAAATATTAAACATACAAATTACTATTCTCATAAATGAGTAAATGTATGCTTAGTTATATCATTATCCGTTATACTGAAGACATCCTTATCAAAGTAAAATATGGAAATATTTTATTATCTTCTGAAAAAATATATTACTTTACAATCCGGATTTTTTTAAAGTCCTTGGGCTGAACATCATTAATCTATTAAAGTTTTCATTCTATACATATAAAGGATTCCATTACGAAGTTTAGTCACTCAGTTTGAAACATAAGATTTCAGTCGTAAAAAAATACCATAATCTGGTTATCCATTTTTTTTGTTAAGACATGACCAAAATAAATGCTTAATATTTCTAGACAATTATTTTAACGTATTTGTTGTGGTTATCAGAAACATAATGTGTGTAATCTAGGGAATCCCTTTTTTATACTGATTCGGGTAAACTTTGAACTCTTTGAAACCATTTACAAAAAATGTTGTATTTATTTGACATTACACACATTTTAAATATTAATTAGTCACCATTGAGAACTACTAGCCTAAAAATCACAAATTAATAATCCTTATTACCAATTAGTTCAAAGTCTGTCATAGTAATCTCAACGTTTGCAGGTTAAGATCATTATTATTTCTTTACAATGATTACTTTTATTTTAGGCGTCACTAAAAGCCAATATTTTATGCGTTATTAATTTTTTTTATGTTATTAAACTTAGCACAATAGAAGTGATTAGAATATCAGATATAAGAACATTATATCAGATTTCTGGTTAATATAAAAATTGCAAAGTTAAAGTGTCTTACCTTAAGTAGTGTTATGTTAATATTATCAGAGCGTTAGATATTCTAGACTGTTTTCAAATCGATCAAGTCGTCGTCCTTTTTCATAAAATACTAATTATACAGTAAAATGCAATAATTTTCTATAGGTACAATAAATACGAATACCCTAAAAGGCAATGAAAAAAGTCATAAAAGCACAAACTATGATTAACCTGGGGAGTTCATTTTTCATTTGAATCATTTCTTGGTGTATTTCGTTCTCCAATTAAATGTATCAGTAAATAATTCAGTTATGATTATCTCAACAAATTATTACTATATTTACACCTTTTTTTCTTTTATTTTTATTCACATGAATAAAACATCTTACTTTTTAATCTGTACTAGTTTGCTTTGAACAGGAGAAATTATTCCGTGAAGGTTTAAATGTCATTCGTTAACTGCGTGCTTACTGACTTACCGATAAATTTTAAACAGAAAATAATTATGTAACCTCTGGATTTTTACTTAATTTTCCTGCAGAGAACCCATTGTACTTGGTTAGTTGTTTTAGAGCCAAACGAAGTTTAGCGTTGTAAGTCCGTAAACTTACCTCAGTCCCACCTGGGGACACGGTTGTGTTTTTAGTGTGTTATATGGTTATAGACTGTTGCCATGAAACATATACTTGCTTTGTGGGTCTCCCTGTGTATACCGTTGAGTTTTTTCTGCTGATAATACTTCTGTCAGATTAAGCTAGTTTTTATTATGGTACCATTTATTATGAAATAGTAAAGTCGTGTTGGTAATAATATCGATTTCTTTGAAGTGATTTATAGGTTTGGTATATAATTATTTGTATGAGATTCATTCGTCTTTCACCAGCCATTTAAGCTACGTGTCTTGGAACTTTCATGAACTTTGATTGCTTAATTTGCAACCAAACGCTAGTTTATCAGATAACAAATGTCATTGTACAGCTGCTTTACTGCTGATTCTACCTTTCAGAAATGCTTACATTGGACTCTATGATCAGTTATATAATGATCACCGATCCACGTAAACGTATGTGTATTTTAGAAACGATCTGATTTAAAAAGCCCGCCAGTGGTCCAGTGGTAAAACTGAGAACTTATAACGCTAAAAAATCGGGTTTCGATACCCGTAGTGGGTAGAGCACGAATAGTCCATAGTATAGTTATGTGCTTAATCACAAATAAATTGAAACTAATTTAACCTTTAAATGTTGCTATGCGCGGTGTTACCAATACAGTAATACAAATATAGTTATTTTGGTTATGTCATCAAAACCGCGTAGCTGCCTTAAAGTAACATTATAGAATCGTGATAGCCTTAAGCCTTAACTCAGTTTCAGGAATGGACAATTTTACTGCATGTGAAGTGACACTAAACATTGAAAGATCAAGAGGATAAAATCATTCATATTCATTATAATATTTATCACCAAGGAAAGGCGGGATCTGTTTCTAAACGGAAGGAAAGTAACAAGAAGTAAGTAAATAATTAAAGAAAACTGTAGATATCTTACGGTTTTGATGTTTAGAGATCTTCTGGATTCAATCTGTTCGAAATGTGATTCAGAAGATTTACAATATAGAAAAGAAAAAAAGAAAGCTTTTAACTCACATTGGATAACAAAATCCGTATCATAACCAGCTGAAAACTGAGTTTCCAGCTTTGCGAGATCATATTAGTTCAGTTACGTCTGTGGTATTATTTTATAAATATCTTTTTTTAATTGTTCCGGTTTTTTGCTATCGATCTGGCTTGTTTTATAGAAACGTACTAGTGATTATTTTTCTGGTCTTCTTTTGTAAGTCCGGTTTTATGTTATTGTGTTGATCTGTCTTATAAAACAGGTCTTATGTTATAGATCCGATTTTACTATAGAGCTAGCTTTTTTATGTATTTCTCATATTACAAAAGTGACCTTATTTTATAACATAAAATAATAATAAGTAATAAGTTTACAGGCACTGAACGTACAGACTATACGAGAAAACAAATACGGTGCAGAAAGGGTAACGTCTAAATGTTAAACCTTCACACATTAAAAAGAAGAGAACCTGTAAAACAAGTAATATGCGTAAATGTATTTGTATGTGTGTTTAATTGCATGTGTATTAAACACATACAAATACATATGTAGTCTTAGAAACATTCTTAGTTATTAAATTACTTAATATGATATATGCGATTAAACAATTTAACAAAAATTCATACAGTTGTCTATCTTTTCCATTGTATCAATCATAGAGCATCATTATCCTTCTCAGTGTAGAATGCTGGTTCGTATTCTATTATTTTAATACTTTTTCTGCATGTGTGGACCTTAAGAGCAGACAACGGATTTCTATTTGTTTTATAAATTATGTATTTTCTTTTCTTTAAAGTTAGCTAAGTTAATATTGTTGCTTTTAATATTTACAAAAATTATAATATTACTATTACCGTACTATTCTGCGTTGATAGCCTAGTGTGTGAGTTTGGAATAATATAAAGCTGGTTTGGTTTTGGTTTTGAATTTCGCGCAAAGCTACACGAGGGCTATCTGCGCTAGCCGTTTCTAATTTAGCAGTGAAAGACTAGAGGGAAGACAGGTAGTCATCAACACCAACCGCCAACTCTTGGGCTACTCTTTTACCAACGAATAATGGGATTGACCGTCACATTATAACGCCCCACGGCTGAAAGGGCGAGAATGTTTGGTGAGACAGGGACTCGAACCCGCGACCCTTAGATTGTGAGTCAAGCGCCCTAACCACCTGGCCATGCCGGGCCTCACCTAAAGCTCTTAAGCAGGTCGAACATCATGGGATGTTATTGGGATGACGGTCGAAAATATTTCAGTTCATTAAATTGATATTGAGATGGCTGGGGATGAATTTACCTCTTAATGCCTAGAAAGTCATGGAATACAAGTGTAACATTTATATTTCAACAAACGTAAAAAAATATCTAAAATAACAAATAATTAATATTCAAATAAGGATAAAACTTAAATTGCTTATCATAGAAAACTTTAAGGTACGCAACATAAAATTGCTTAATTCAAATGTGGCACAAAATCCAAGGTTTGAGACATTGATATACCGCAAAGTGCAATTCGAACTTTCTGGTATGGGACATTATAACTGTACAGCAAATATTATTATTCGGCGGAGATGACTGACTGGTTGCCCTTCTTTTGAACAGTATTTTCAATTTATGGTGAACTATAAAAAAATGTGAGGCTTCTGACTTAATTTCATATATGACACATTTGGCATTTAAGGTGTTGTTCAGGTTGAAAATTTTAAACGAGAATCCGTGTAAACATTGAAACAGAAAATAATTAAAGACGCAGGACGGTTTAAATGCAAAGTTGTTTTCTAATTATTATATCTAAATGCTTAAGATTTATTTATTTTTGATGAATAAGTTACTCAGATAAAAATAATCTTATCAGAGAGTAAAAGAAAGATATCCTAAATTACAATTTTTGATGAAAGAACACAGAAGTCATGCAGGAACAACTTGTGTACGCACCGTATTCACTAACAAACCATTTCCTTTCAAAGATAATCTCTGCAAATTGAACTGATATTCATGCAGGAACCACTTGTGTATGCACCGTATTCACTAACAAACCATTTCCTTTCAAAGATAATCTCTGCAAATAGAACTGATATTCGTAAGAAAAATTATGGTAAACTGCAGATTATGCACATATATGTATGCCACAAATATTAGACCTGATAGTTCACAATGCTGTTATATAAAAAGTGTTGCAACTAGACTTTTGTTTCTCATTCTCCAGCTCAGCTGATAAGTTTAGGATACAAAGTTTGTTTGTAGTAAAGCATAAAGCTACTCTATGTGCTATCTGTGCTCTGCCCACCACGGGTATTGAAACCTGGTTTTTAGCGTTGTAAGTCCGCAGACATACCGCCGTGCCGCTGGGGGTCTAGGATGCAAAAAATAAATGCGAAATGATATTATTAGGCATTTGAAGTTTGCAATGAATAATCGACAACTTCAGAGGAATGTGAAAAAAACAAAAAACACCTGGAGTATAAATTGATTTTTTATAACAAATAGCTA